GGTCCTCTGCAAGGGCAGCCAGTTTTCTTAACCATTGAGACAGCTCTCCAGCCCCATCTTTGAACACTTTGAACTCTACCTTGTCAGTCTTTGCATGCCTCACTGCTCAATGTCCCAGCATAAAGGAAGCATACAACGAATAACTATCATATCAAAGGTGCAACTCCTCTGTAGAAGTAATATATAAACGCAGGCACTGCTGAAACAAGACATGAGCAATGTCTGCCGAATGTATACACACTTTCATTTACTTATTCAGTAAATCTGTGCTGGGGATGAAGCACGGTTGGTAAAGGCTTGCCTAGCTCATTCAAATTCCCGGATTAGATTCCCAGCTCCCAGTTAACCAGGTGTGGTGGTGAACAACTATAAACCCAGCACTTGGGATGTGGAAGCCAAAGCATCCAGCAAGGTTCAAGGTCATCCTCAGCTTAGAGAGTACAAGCAACCCTGTCAAACAAAATAAACAATAACAACAAAAAAGCAACGAACAGCTTTATTCCAGATATTGTGCAGGTGTCTTTTTTTGTTGTTTTTTTTTGTTGTTGTTGTTGTTTTGTTTTGTTTTTTACAGGGTAGCCAAAACTGGCCTCAAACTCAGGATCCTCTGGGCTGGAGAGATGGCTCAGAGATTAAGAGCACTGGCTGCTCTTCCAGAGGTCCTGAGTTCAATTCCCAGCAACCACATGGTGGCTCACAACCATCTATTCTGAGATCTGGAGCCCTCCTCTGGCGTGCAGGCATACATCGAGGCAGAATGTTGTATACATAATAAATAAATAAATCTAAAAAAAAAAAGCTCAGGATCCTTCTGCCTCAACACCCCTAAGTGCTGGGATTACAGGTGAGACATAACACACCTGCCTCATGTTCCCACCATCCCTTCACATCGGAGGTCTGAATCTAGGGCCTGAACATGCTAGGCAAGCACTCTACTAAGGGGCTACAGGCTGCTCCTGAGTTTGTATGACAAGACAGGGTCTAGTTAGGTCTAGTTTGGAGAGCTGGATGTGGAGGTGCGCACTAGTAAGTCTACTACCTGAGCTGGGGCAGGAGGTCTGCCAGGTTGTGACACTAAGAAAACAAAACAAACGTCAGATGTAGTAAGAGCAAAGCCCCTGAGACAGCCGGTGTATGTTCCAGGAACTGAGAATGACCGTGGTTGTATTGGAAGAGATTGGACTATGCGTAGTTTAGCAGGTCACTGGAAGGATTTTGGGTTCTGTGTTTCTACAACGAATCAGGGTAGTAGATGCAGACCCTTTTAGAATGATACTGTCCTATCCGGTTGGTTGAGATACCCACGATGGAGAGGCACATGGAGTCCAGAAATCTTCAAGAGGTTTAGAAAACAAAAAGCAAAAATTTAATTTGAAGACGGACTGATGTCAGGATGAGGGACACAGAGTTAACTACACAGGGTAAATAATTCTGTTTCCGGCTTGATCCAGGGGATGGCTGGAGGGGTGGAGTAGCTGGCATTCAAGTTTGCAAGTTTGGGTCGCCCTGCCCTCTCACCTCGGCCTCCCCAAGGAGCACGGCAGCACTTTGATCTTCGCCTTCTTCCTGAGCATCTTCCCTTAGCAGCCTCTTGCTGACCAACTGCTGCTCCCTCCGCGCCTTCCGCAGGGCTGGGGGCAGAGGAATGGCTCAGTTAAAGAGGGGAAATCAGTCAGCAGACACTCAGGGCCAGGGGTCTCACTCCCCTACTCCCAACCGCCACATTCGCATCCGCTCCACTCCCTCATCCGTTCGCACCTGCCTCCCGCTCCCGCCGGCGGCATCGCAGCTCCTCCACCCCACATGCCACCGTCCTGAGACGGCAGTGCCGCCGACTCCACATCGTTCAGCAAAAGGAAACTCGACCGGGAAAACCTAGAACCGCGCAGGCGCTGAACAGAACGGAATCCAGACTCAGCACGGGGTGAGGGGCGGGACTGTACGTGAGGGGCGTGACTCCGTGGGTGAGGGCGGGGCAAGAGCGGTGCGATGACCCGGGCTGTGTGATCAAGCTAAAATTCAGTAACTGTAGATCGAATTCTGTTGTCTCTCCCAACTCAAACTCAGTAAAGAGATGCGGAGCTTGGCCTCCATAGACCCGCAGTTTCATACTCCACTCAGCAAACACAGCTTACCCCCGTGTCCTCCACGCTCAGTATAACAGCCAGTTTCACGAATTACGGGGCTGATGAGCACTTCCTAATGCTTGAAGCATAATGTCCATTGAGGGTTTGAGAGACAGCTTTAATAGCATTTACTACTCTTCCAGTAGGGCCTGGGTTCGAATTCCAGCACTCGCCTCTGGCAGCTCACAGCTAACAGCTATCTGTAACTCCAATTTCTGCATGCATACGATGCACATAAACCCATGCAGATACATTACCATACCGTAAAATAAAATCTTTCCTGGAATGGTGGTGCATGCCTTTAGTCCCAACATTCAGGAAGCAGAGGCAGGGGAATTTTCGAGTTTGAGGCTACCCTGGCCCACATAGCAAGTTCTAGCAGCCAGAGAGATTCTGTCAAGAAAGAAGGGGTGAGAGAGGGGAGAAAGAAAGGAAATAAGAATAAATCTATTTAATAAAGATATTAATAAAGATATTTAATAAAATATTTAATTCAGCCGGGTGGTAGTGGCACACGCCTTTAATCCCAGCACTCGGGAGGCAGAGGCAGGCGAATCGAGACCAGCCTGGTCTACAAGAGCTAGTTCCAGGACAGGAACCAAAGCTACAGAGAAACCCTGTCTCGAAAAAAAAAATATTTAATTCAATTTATTTACTTATTTTTATTTTATTTGTACTAGTGTTTTGCCTGAATGTATATCTGTGCACTACTGTTTCAGGTGCCTGTGGAGGACAAAAGACTGCATCAGAGTAGCTGGAACCAGAGTTAAAGATAGTTGCAAGCGGCCCTGTGGTTGTTGGGAATCGAACCCAGGTCCTCTGAAGAGCAACCAATGCTCTCAACTGCCAATCCATCTCTCCATCCCCAAGAAAAATAAATAAATCTTCAAACCGTCCCCCAAAGAAAATTCTCAATGGCCAGGTAGTAGTAACACGTGCCTTTAATCCCAGCACTCGGGAGGCAGAGACAGACAGATCTCTCAAATTCAAGGCCAGCCTGGACCACAGAGTGAACTCCTGGACAGCCTGTGCAAAGAAACCCCAAAACCAAACAACAACAGTACTCCACTGGATGATCCACAAGGACCATTATCCCTTTTTTATGGATGAGGTTATAACCACCCCATGTCTCTTCTGTAACTGGAGGTTTCTCGTCCCACTTGCTCCTCCTGCAGCTGCTTTTAAACCACTTAGAGACTTAATATTAATTACAAACTATTTAGCCTTTTAGCTCGGGCTTATAATTAACTAGTCCTTACAACTTAAATTAACCTGTATCTATTAGTCTACATTTTACTATAAGGCTTGTGAGTTGTTACCTCACATCTTGCTTCCCTGGTGGCTGTTGGCATCTCTTCGACTCTGCCTTCTTTTTCCCTTTATCTTTGCTTGGATTTCCTGCCTGGCTCTATTCTGTATGGTTATTGGCCAAATCACCTTTTTTATTAACTAATGGTAATAAAACATACACATAGTATATAGAGAGAGACAACCCACATCACCCTTTTGTTTTGTTTTGTTTTGTTTTTGTTTGTTTTCTGAGACAGGGTTTCTCTGTGTGTAACCCTGTCCCGGAACTCACTCTGTAGACCAGGTTGGCCTCAAACATACAGAGATCTGCTTGCCTCTGCCTCCTAAGCGCTGGGATTAAAGGTTTTCACCACCACTGGCCAGCTATTTTTTTTAATTTATTTATTTATTATGTATACAATATTCTGTCTGTATGCCTGCAGGCCAGAAGAGGGCACCAGACCTCATTACAGATGGTTGTGAGCCACCATGTGGTTGCTGGGAATTGAACTCAGGACCTTTGAAAGAGCAGGCAATGCTCTTAACCTCTGAGCCATCTCTCCAGCCCCTGGCCAGCTATTTTTTTAAGATAAAGTAATTTAACAAATTTTTAATGTCACCACTCTAAGTACTGGGTGAGGTGAAAATTTCTCAAAACTCAAAATCCGAATTGTGACCAACTAGGTGATGTATGCTATGATTCTAAGTCTCTTCTCTAGGCTGGACTGTAAGGGCACCTCACCTTACCCATCCCATGGACCTTCAGTTTGTCTCTTGAATGAGTGATATTTCCTCCACTTCCTGAGCTAAGGCACTGGTTGTTCCCCCTGCCTAGAGCTCCGCCCATTGCCTGCACTTTCCCAAACATCAACCTAAGGCCCCAACTCCAGACCAGATGTGGTTTCCAACACTCAGGAGGCGATGAAGAAGGTGTGCCATAAGTTTGAGGTCAGCCTGGACTACGTAGCGAGATCCTCAATAAACCCTCAACTCCAGCTCCATTGTCACATGTTCCAGGCCATTAGATCATTGCCCCCCTTACATCCGGCATCATAACTGTTAACCATGGTGTGGTGGTTTAAAAGAGATGTCCCCATAGTCCTGTACCTTTAAATACTTAGTCCCCATTTGGTGCTGTTAGGAGGCATGGCCTTGCTAGGAGGAGATATGTCACTGGAAGCAGGCTTTGCACCATTTCTACTTTGCTCTCTCTGCTTGGTATCTGCAGCTTGAGATATCAGCTCTCGGGTTCCCTGCCACAAGCTTGCCTACTTCTCCATCTTGCAAGTTTCTCCGCCATGATAATGACGGACTCTTGCTGCTCTGAAACTATAAGTCCCAAATAAACTATTTCTCCTATTGGAAGTTGCTATGCTGGATAGTTTTATGTCACCTCGACACAACATGCAGTCATCTGAGAGGAAGGAACCTCAACCAAGAAAAAGTCTCTGTAAGATCAGGCTGCAGACAAGCATGTAGGGCATCTTCTTAGCTGGTGATTGATGGGGGATAGGGCCAATCCTGGGCTGGTAGTCCTGGAGCCTAGAAGAAAGCAGGCTGAGCAAGTCATGAGGAGCAAGCCAGTCAGCTTTTTAAAGATTTTATTAAGATTTTTAAGATTTTATTTATTATGTATACAGCGTTCTGCCTGCAGGCCAGAAGAGGGCACCAGATCTCATTACAGATGGTTGTGAGTCACCATGTGGAAATTGAACTCAGGACCTCTGGAAGAGCAGCCAGTAATCTTAACCTCTGAGCCATCTCTCCAGCCTGGAACATCTGTTTTATGATACAAAGATATGTTTCATTCTTTTATGTTGCATTTGTCTAACTCTCAAAAAATGTGTCCCCAACACTTATCACAAAAAGAAACAATTGATAAAAATCTAGAGGACAGAGTAAACACTTTAGAAGAAGCAGTCTTATTTATAGGTAATCAAATTCAAAATTAAATTAAAGTTAGATTGATCATCATTCACAATTTAAATGGATTTGTGACACTCAGCTTCTGTACACTGCTTCTAAGGTAACCCGGACATAGGTTAGGCCCCACCTCCATGACCTGTAGAACAATTCTGAACTAGCTATGCACATGCAGTCTTTGCATCAACAAATTACAGCCATTAGTTCAGCTCAACTGGAGTCCAACTGGCTTCTGAGATTACAAATAGACTTTTTTGATGTTGTTTTGTTGTTGTTGTTGGTTTTTTTTTTTTTTTTTCCGAGACACAGTTTCTCTGTGTAGCTTTGGAGCCTGTCCTGGAACTTGCTCTGTAGACCAGGCTGGCCTCGAGCTCACAGAGACCCACCTGCCTCTGCCTCCCAGTGCTGGGATTAAAGGTGTGCACCACCACCGCCCTGCAGAGTCTTATAATCGCTCACTTATTTTGTCTCAGGACAGACCTTTTGGTGTCCTATCGTTAATTTGGGAGTCATCTTCTCTTCTGAGAACTGAAAAATGCCCTACATGCCACACAAGATATACACACTCTTGAGTTAACAAACAAAAAAGGGGGAGCTAGCACAGCCATATCTGATGGGAATGGCAAAAGTCATAAAGCCAGCGAGGCTGCTTGACAAAATCCAGCAAAGCTGAGCCGCATGACGGCCGCTATGCCACTTTTGATCTCTGTCTGATAATATTTGTGCAATTTGGGGACATTGTATTGATGAAAATTTGCTTGTGTATCATTTCTGACTTCTCCCAGGAGTACGGCTTCTAAATTACCCCAGGAACATCCTGAACACACTACTCCTTCAGCTTTTAGGGAGTTGGCCTTATCTACCTGAAGGTCTTCCGTAGGCCTTGGAGGTTGTGACACACGAAGACAGAGGTCTCTTTACGAGGCTATGAGACATTCTTGAAACATCTGTCCCTGTACTTACTCAGGAACAAGATAATCAAAACAAAGTAAACTCAAATAGGTCAACAGGATTTGGTGGGCTAGAGGAGTTAGCCACAAAACAGATTAAAGACCTCTTCCTACTATACACGTATATGGCGTATACAGCAGCAAAGTCAGGTTAGCTGGAGTTACCTCTGCCCTACACAGAGACTTATATTGCTGAGCAAAGAAAGAGATGTCAGGCTCTCCCTTTCTGGGAAAAGTTGGCACACGCAGAGCCACAGTGATGTCTTATGACCAAAGATCAAAAGATGCCAGGAATAGACATAGACATAAATTCTATAAAGATATATTATGCCAGTGGGGGGTGTCAATGGCAATTTCAAAGAAAAAAAGCACTAAATGCTAGGATGATCTGGTGTTAGTATTTAGGCATCTGTACTGGCCTGCTCTCAGAGTCCTGACAGCTGCAGCCACTAAGAGCACCTCCTGTGCACAATTGCTAATTCCCTTTTAAAAGGTGGGCCTTGCCCACCTCTCTCTGTCTCTCTGTCTCTGTCTCTGCCTCTCTCTTCTCTTCTGCCACTTCTGTCCCCAGAAGCCAATCTCCCCCCTCCCCCTTTCCCCATTCCCTATCCCCCAATTTAAAAAAAAAAAAACCCTACACATGCCTGGCAGTGGTGGTGCACGCCTTTAGTCCTAGCACTCAGGAGGCAGAGGCAGGCAGATCTCTGTGAGTTCAAGGACAGCCTGGTCTACAGAGTGAGTTCCAGAACAATCAAGGCTACACAGAGAACCCCTGTCTCAAAAGAGAGAGAGAGAGAGAGAGAGAGAGAGAGAGAGAGAGAGAGAGAGAAAGAAAAGAAAGAAAGAAAGAAAGAAAGAAAGAAAGAAAGAAAGAAAGAAAGAAAGNTATTAAACAAGCCGGGCATGGCTCACGCCTGCAACCCAAGCACTTGGGAAGCAGAGGCAGGAAGACAATCATGAGTTCAAGGCTAGCCTGAGCTACGTACACAGTGAGTTCTTGGCCAGAATGGGCTACTAGAATGAGAGAATGTGGGGAAGAAAGAGAGGGAGGGAGAGTGGAAGGAGAATGAATTATTGAACAAGGGAATAAGATGGAGAGAAGGGAGGGTTGTTCTTCATGCTAACTCTCAACCTTGAACTTTATTCTCCCTCTGGAATCCATAATAAATTCACAATCTTCCACGAACATCCCGTCAGTCACACTCTTGAAGAAAGTCAAGGACTTGGATTTGAATGGTGGAAAATTGTTAGAAACTGAGACTAGGGGGAAATGGAGCTGAATCCCTGGGGTTGGGCAGCAGAACACTGAGTAAGGCCCTGGTGTGGTTCATCCTTTTCCTGTATGTACCAGACTAGCCTGAGGAGCTTAGGTCATCCTCTTGGCACAGAGTGCCCTAATGCCACAAAGAATTCTTCCTGTTTTGGTTCCTCCCTGTAAAATACTTCATTGCAATATTTACTAGGAGTAGGAGGACTGTTAGGAGGAAGAAAAGTGGGGAAGTGATTAGAGGTCACAGAGGAGGGGACTGGGTGACATCCCGCGATTACATAAACTCACAGGGGCTGTCAAAGAGAGCAAACAAGCGCGTGAAACTTGGGAACCAGAGAACACCGCTGTACAGGAAAGAGCCTGAAGCCGTTTTCAGAGCCAGCCTGGGACATCGAAACTCTCAGAATCTATCGACCATGGTGAGTCAGATGGTCTTGGGGTGGAACCGGGCCCACCTGAGGAACCCCAAGAGTCTCCCTGACCACTGCTATCTCCTCAGGAGCGTCAGCTTCGATTGTTTCTGTTGTTACTGACGCTGGCACACCCCTTCCCTGCCGCGCCAGAGCCCTGCGAACTGGATGAGGAGGGTGTCCACTGCGCCTGCAACTTCTCAGATCCGCAGCCCAACTGGTCCAGCGCTTTTCTGTGTATCGGGGCGATAGACGTGGAGTTCTACGGCGGCGGCCGCAGCCTGGAAGATTTTCTAAAGCGTGTGGACACCGAAGCAAACCCGTCGAAGGAAATCACAGATGTGCTCCAGTCCCTGCTGTGGGAGCGGCTTACCTTGGGGAATGCGCGGGTTCCTGCTCCGATACTATTCGGAGTCCTGCGTTTGCTCGGGTTTACCAAACTCCAGGAATTAACCCTTGAAAACCTCGAGGTAACCGGCACCGCGCTGCCGCCGCTCCTGGAAGCCTCCGGACCGAATCTCGACACCTTGCGCCTCAGCAACGTGTCGTGGGCGACAGGGGATGCCTGGCTCGCAGAACTGCAGCAGTGGCTAAAGCCAGGACTCAAGGTATTGCATATTGCCCAAGCACACTCACTCAACTTTTCCTGCGAACAGGTCCGAGTCTTCCCCGCTCTTGCCACCTTAGACCTGTCCAATAACCCCGAATTAGGCGAGAGAGGACTGATCTCGGCTCTGTGTCGGAGCAAGTTCCCGGCCCTCAAAGTTTTAGCGCTGCGCAACGCCGGGATGGAGACGCCCAGCGGCGTGTGCTCTGCGCTGGCCGCGGCAAGTTTGCAGCTGGAAGAACTGGACCTTAGTCACAATTCACTGCGGGATACTGAAGGCGCCCCCGGATGTGACTGGCCTAGCAAGCTAAACTCGCTCAATCTGTCTTACACTGAACTGGAGCAGGTACCTAAGGGACTGCCAGCCAAACTCAGCGTACTTGATCTCAGTTACAACAGACTGTATAGGCAACCTAGGCCAGATGAGCTGCCCAAGGTGGTTCACCTGTCACTTACAGGAAATCCCTTTTTAGACTCTGAGCCCCACTCGAAGGGGTACAACTCTGGCATAGTCGTAGCCCCAGTGCGTTCATCCCTGGCAGTGGGTTTGTCGGCAACGTTGGCTGTTCTCCAAGGAGCCGGCCTTTTTGCCTAGTGCCAAAGGGAGGAAAAAAAAAATGAACATTTACATTGTCCTGGCTTCTGAGGGTCCTGGTCAGGTTGATCAGAACTTTTTTTTTTTTTTTTTTTTTTTTTGGTGTTTCGAGACAGGGTTTCTCTGTGGCTTTGGAGCCTGTCCTGGAACTAGCTCTGTAGACCAGGCTGGTCTCGAACTCACAGAGATCTGCCTGCCTCTGCCTCCCAAGTGCTGGGATTAATGATCAGAACTTCTTGACCAACGAGTCCTCTGTCTTACAGTTATTAAAATCTTAAACCACGATGTAAGGAAAGAAAGACAGTCTAGATGGCTCAATGGGTAAAGGCCACCAAGCTTGACACTTGATTTTGATCCTCAGGATCCACATGGAAGGAAAGACCTCTGTCCTGAAAGTTATCCATCTGACCATTACACACATGCTGTGACACAGTTGTGTGTGTGTGCGCACACGTGTGTATGTGTATACATACATACATACATGCTCACAAAATAAATATTTTTAAATTAACAATCTGCTGGTTTTGTCTGGTTGGAATTTTGTTGCTGTTTGCTTGTCTGTTGAGACAGTCTGGCTATGTAGCCCTGGCTGGCCTCATGAGTCCACGTCATTCACTCCACAGGTCTTTACTGAGTATCCTCTTTTTTTTTTCTTTTCTTTCTTTCTTTCTTCCTTTCTTTTTCTTTTTTTTTTTTTTTTCCTTTTTTTGGTTTTTTGAGCCAGGGTTTCTCTGTGTAACCGTCCTGGCTCTCCTGGAACATGCTCTGTAGACCAGGCTGGCCTCAAACTCACAGGAGCTCTGCCTGCCTCTGCTTCCCGAGTGCTGGGATTAAAGGCGTGCGCCATCACCCCAGCAAGTATCTTCTACACACCAGGCTCAATGCAAGAGCAGAAATTCATTCTTAGACTTTCTCTACCTCCCTAGAAGTCCTACCTCCCCCCAAGAAAAGAACTGCAGGGTCGGAAGGAACAGAAAAGTGTTTGTTGGGGAATATTATTTTCAGGTGTGTAACTTTTGTTTATGCTGCATGTGTTTAACTCTATGAAACTGTTATGGAGTAGCAACGAAACTATTTTTATGGTTTATAGCGGGGGGGGGTTGTCTTTTGGGGTTTTTTGATTTGTTTTTGTCTATTTGTTGTTGTTGTTGTTTTGCCCATCAAAAACACCTGATGGTCCTAATAAAGAGCCGAACTGCCAATAGCTAAGCAGGAGCAAAGATAAGCGGGGCTGGCAGGCAGAGAGTATAAATAGAAGGAGAAAATAAGGAAGAGGAGGAACAAGAAGACGAGGAGGGGAGGACTTCAGAGGCCAGCCACCCAGCCAGCTAAGGAGTAAGAGTGAAAGTCAGATATACAGAAGTAAGAAAAGGAAGAAGTCCAGAGGCAAAAGTTAGTCTGGGATAATTTGTTAAGAAAAAGCTGGCAAGAAACAAGCCAAGACCAGGCATTCATAACTAAGAATAAGCCTCCGTGTGTGATTTATTTGGGAGATGGGTGGCAGGCCCCTCAAAAAGTCCAAAGAGTAAAACATCCCACAAGTGTTCTCAAGCTAGAGCTGTGGGAGACAGTGAAGGCATAGCGAGGGCTTTCAGACCACAGGCACTAGGGTTAAAGGATAGCTGGATTAATTGTTGTGATTTGACTGAGATTGGCCCCCACAGCCTCACGTGTTTGAATACTTGATCCCCAGTCATGAAACTGTGCTAAGGATTGGAGGTGTGGCCCTGTTGGAGGGGGTAGGCTTTGAGGTTTCAAAAGCCTAAGCCATTCCCAGTTCTCTGCCTTGTGCTTTGAGATCAAGACAGGAACCTCTGCCTGTTGGACCCTGGCAGTTGCCATGCTCCGTACCATGGTAGTCATGGACTCTAACTGAGCCTCTAAATTAGTGGGTCTCAATCTTCCTAACGCTGTGACCCTTTAATACGGTTTCTCATGCTGTGACGACCCCAACTATAAAAATAGTTTCGTTGCTACTCCATAACTGTAAATTTGCTACTGTTATGAATTGTATTGTAAATATCTATGGTTCTGGTGGTCTTAGGAGACTCCTGTAAAAGGGTTGTTTGATCCTCAACTTTCAAGAGCCAATAATAAAACTCCCAACCATTTTCTTGTACTCTCCCTTTCTCTCCCACACCCGAGAGGGGAGGAACAGAGATGCCTCCTGGACGCCATAAACCTTGGTTTTGTAATTCCAGAGATCTTGTCCCTCATATAAATGTCTCCGACTTTCCCCATCTCAAACCCGCACCCAACAGTGGGGAACTGGGCACTGGAAGCAGGTCAGGCAGTCTTTCCTCCAGCCAGCGCTCTGTCCTCCAGCTCCTCCAAGCCAGCGCTCTGCTGCTCTGGTTATAAACACGAGGATAGCCCTCCAAACTGATTTGTTGGTTTCCAGACAGGATGGCACCTCATCCCTTAGGAATATTTAGCATCAGAGAATTGATCATCTCAAGACAGTTTCTTACATTTGAACAGTTTGATAACACTCCATCAGTATATGAAAATGAAACATAAATATACTATACTTTCACATAAGTCCTAATCCAGTTAGACTGGCAGATGTAAAAGATAGCTGTAACTCAGGAGAGAGAAGAATCAACTCTATTTCGAAGGAACTACAAAAAACAAAACATTCACTCTGATTCTCTTTTTGTTTTTTGGGTTTTTTTTTTTTTTCCAGACAGGGTTTCTCTGTTGCTTTGTAGACCAGGCTGGCCTTGAACTCGCAAAGATCTGCCTGCTTCTGACTCCCAAGTGCTGGAATTAAAGGCGTGCGCCACCACCACCCAGCTGACTCTGATTGTTACAACATCTCACTTCTCCAGAAAGCACATCCCACACAGAAATGGCCGCCATGTTCCAGGCTCAGAACCTATAAGAGTAGATGAGCAAAACTGCTCCTGCTGGTTAGAAAGAGCTACAGATCATTGTAACGGAAACTGGGAATACTTTCTTATTTAAGTCCCCATTCCATCGCGCTGCACCAAACCCTGGGAACGCAACAGGAATAAAGCAGAAGTTCCTTCTCTCACAGAGTTTGGATTCTGGTTGGATAGAGGGTGCTGTGGACTAAATAGCTGTGTCCCTTCCAAATGCACATGTTGCAGAGCCGGGGGTCACAGTTTAGTTGGCAGAGTGGTTGGCTAGCACTCACCAAGCCCCAAGTTCAACAACTAGTGCCACATAAATCCTAGAATCTCAACATTCAGAGGTGGAGGCAAAAGGAGAAGAAATTCAAGGTTGCCAGTAGAAGTGACACACACCTTTGATCCCAGCAGAGGCAGGTGGATCACTGTGAATTTGGGGCCAGCCTGGTCTACAGAGATAGTTTCAGGATAGCCAAGGCTGCACAGAGAAACCCTGTCTCAAAAGACAAAAAGCAAAAAAGTTCAAGGTTATCCTTAGTTACAAAGTGAGCCTGGGGCTAGCCTAGAATACATGAGATCATGGTAGGGTTTTATAAATTTCATTATTTACTTGTTTATTTATTTATCTGTTTATTTATTCTATGTGCATTGGTGTTTTCCCTGCATCTTTGTCCTTGTGAAGGTCTCAGACCTTGGACTTACAGACAGTTGTGAACTGCGATGTAGGTGCTGAGAATTGAACCCAGGTCCTCTGGAAAAGCGGGCAAACACCAAAGCACATAAAATCAAAATAAAAAATTATTTTTAAAAAAGAAAGAAATATTATTTAGTGTATCTATCTTTGTGTATATGCTATTTGTATGCCATACCAGTGGAAGCTAGAAAAGAGTATAGAACCTCATGGAGCTGGAATTACAAGAGGCTGTAAACCATCTAATATAGGAGCTTGGAATCAAACTTGGGTCCTTTGGAAGAACAACAAGTGTTCTTAACCACTGAGCCATCTCTCCAGTTCCATCCAGGGTTTTTATAGAGTAATGACAGAAACTGGACATAGCTGAATAAATCTCTCTTAAGACTGGTTAATTTCCGGCCTGGAGAGATGGCTCAGAGGTTAATAGCATTGGCTGCTCTTACAGAGGTCCTGAATTCAATCCCAGCAACCACAAGGAAGCTCATAATCATCTATAATGAGATCTGGTGCACTCTTCCGGTGTGGTGTGCAGGAGTACATACAGGCAGAATGAATGAATGAATAAATAAATAATCTTTAGAAAAAGAGTCGTTAGTTTCTGTGATATCATAGGTCAAGCCAATGAGAAGCCCACACTATATATGTTCCCCTGACCCAGCCAGGAAGATGGCTGTGTGGTTCTGCCCACCCAGTTAGGGGTGTTTGAAGCCTCTGTGTTCCTCTCCAGCTCAAGCTTTGGCTGAGCTGCCATCCGTCAGTCATTTAGCCAACCCTGCAGTTATCTCAACTGCTGGTAGTTACACTAAGCTGTCTTTGTTGTCACATGTACAGGCTCAGCTTGTACTTTTACCATGGCAGGGAGCTAACATCTTCCGAGGGATGTGGCTGTAGTCTTCCTTGGTTATTTCATGTGTATGTAGCGCCTTAGCTATGGAGCGGCCTCCTACGTGAAAGCTTCTTTACAATTTAGTCTGTTACAATTAGCTCTGTTAGAAGCAAGAATATATAATAGGGCAATAGTGCCTTACATATGTCTGTCAAAAGCTTCAGAGTGAGGTTAAGGGGTGTGGGAGGAGAACAAACTGCCCCCGATCCTTGTCTTCTTTTCTGCTGTTGTTGTTTGTTTTTTGAGACAGGGTTCTCTGTGTACCCTTGACTGTCCTGAAACTCACTTTGTAGACCAGGTTAGCCTTGAACTCACAGAAATTCTCCTGCCTCTGACTCCCACATGATGAGATCAAAGGCGGTCAGCACCACTGCCCGACTGATCCTTGTCCTTTTTATCCTTCTAGTTTGACTGTTATACACCCAGTGACAAGCTCTCTTATTCATCTTTATTAGACTCTAAACTCTGTTTTAACCCTTAATCTTCCTTTCAATTCCAGCATCTGTTCTCACTATAAGGCATGTGAGCCGTTTGCCGCTTTCCCCATGCAGGATTCCCCCACAACCTGCAGAGAGCTAGCTGATGGGAGGCCCCCATCAGTGGGGGCATAAAGTGGTCAAGCAACTGTAATAAACAACATAGCTCAATGAAGCTAGGAGCCTCCCTTACTCAGCTCTGAATATCCAGGTCCCGAAAGTGGTACCTATGCGAATCCCTGCGTCTATGTGAATCCCAGCAAGTACTCCACCAATCTTTCCTGGAAGATTGATTGGATGAGAGGAATGGATGTAGGACTGGGTATTGCTAACACAAAGATATAGAAGACAATGTGGAAATAACACATACTCTAAGGCCAATCAAGAAGAGTTTCCTAGGGGGCTGGAGAGATGGCTCAGCGGTTAAGGGTATTGCTTGCTCTTCCAAAGGTCCTGAGTTCAATTCCCAGCAACCACATGGTGGCTCACAACTATCTGTAATAAAGTCTGGTGCCCTATTCTGGCCTGTAGGCATACATACCATGATAGAATATTGTATACATAACAAGTAAATAAATATTAAAAAAAAGAAGAGTTTCCTAGCTGACTTTGGAGGTTAGAGAAACTGGGGACTATGTGTCCCACTTCCAGGGTCAAGACCTGTGATATATGTTTTCTGGGTAGTACCCAGCAGCCTAGAGAGAAAACTCATTCATCTACAGTTAAAACAAGAGGTACAAGGCAGCCCAGAGAAGACCGAAGATAAGATTGAGAAACTTGAATTGATGGAGCAAGGCTGAGTAACACACCCTTGCCAAGACAGAAGGAAGCGAAGGAAGGAAGGAAGGGGCAGGATTGGAGAAGTGCGGCTCTACACGACACTCTGCGGTCAGGTATCTAATGTGGGTAGCTTTTTTTCTGTTGAAGTGTGAAATGTGGTCAGAGGGCTTTCCTGAGCCTGAAGATGATCCCTTCTAGCTTCTTTTCCTTGTCTAGCATCTGGAGCGAAACACACGCTTGGTCTTGTTCTCGACTCCCAGATGAAGAGTTTTACGCTGAAAACAAAGCCATGTTTGTTTTATTCTTATTCAGTCCATCCCTTCCCACCTACACCCTCCAGCCTCTTTCCCTAATGCTCAGAATCCCTCATTACCCAGATCACACACAGATCTTCTTAAGCCACTTAAAGCTATATCCCGGAAAGAACACTTGAGCTCTGATTTAAATCGTTGTGGCAAAAACTTTTTGAGGGGGAGCTGGAGAGGTGGCTCAGTGGTTAAGAGCACTGACTGCTCTTCCAGAGGACCCAGATTCAATTCCCAGCACCCAAGTGGCAGTTCACAACTGTCTGAAGATCCAGTTGCAGGGGATCTGACACCTTCACACCAATGCATATAAAATAAAGTTAAATAGACCATAAAAAGATATTTTTAAAAAACTTTTTGAGGCTCTGTTACATAGTCAGACAGCACTCAGACTGGAAATCCTTCTGTTTTTTCTACATCCTGGGTGCTAGGTATATGTCCTCACCCCAGCAAGACATTATTTTTCCTCTTCTTTTTCTTTCTTTTCTCTTTCTTTCTTTCTTTTTAAATACTTATTTATTACGTATACAATATTCTGTCTGTGTGTATATCTGTAGGCCAGAAGAGGGCAGTAAACCTCATTACAGATGGTTGTGAGCCACCATGTGGTTGCTGGGAATTGAACTCAGGACCTTTGGAAGAGCAGGCAATACTCTTAACTGCTGAGCAATCTCTCCAGCCCTCTTTCTTTCTTTTTTTTGTTTTGTTTTGTTTTGTTTTGTTTTTCGAGACAGGGTTTCTCTGTGGCTTTGGAACCTGTCCTGGAACTAGCTCTGTAGACCAGGCTGGTCTCGAACTCACAGAGATCCGCCTGCCTCTGCCTCCCAAGTGCTGGGATTAAAGGCGTGAGCCACCACCGCCCGACTCTTTTGGTTTTTGAAGGCAAGGTTTCTCTGTGTAGCCCTGGATGTCCTGGAACTCACTCTGTAGACCAGGCTGGCCTCAAACTCACAGAGATCCACCTGTGTCTCCCTCCCGAGTGATGTGGTTAAAGGTTTGCATCACTACTGCCCTGCTAAGTTGCCAGCTTTCTAAGATGTGATATTGTATATAGTAAGCATGATATTGTGGCTTAATTTAGGAAAGAAAAGAAACAAGGTGGGGAGAGAAGTGCAAAGTCTTTTAATGAATATAGACCCAGGATACCAAGACAAATACTGACAAAACCAAAGGCAGCAAAGAGAAAAAAATTATACATATTGATTGGATATATCCCTGGAATAAAAAGTTGTTAAATCTTTCTTTTTTCATGGTTTGTTTATTTTCTTCTGAGACAGACTCTCAAGTGGCCTGGAGTGGCCTTGAAGTCACTATGACAGCTGGGGATGGCACTGAACTTCTGGTTTTGTTGCCTCTGTTTCCCAAGTGCTGGCATTACGGGCATGCGCCACGACACTCAGCTTAGCTTAACTTCTTCCAGCCACTGTAACACCCCACATCAAAGGAAGAGATTTTTAAAAAAAAAAATTTTTTTATTTATTTATTATGTATACAATGGTCTGTCTATGTGTATGTCTGCAGGCCAGAAGAAAGCACCAAACTTCATTACAGATGGTTGTGAGTCACCATGTGGTTGCCAGGAATTGAACTCAGGACCTTTGGAAGAGCAGGCAATGCTCTTAACCACTGAGCCATCTCTCCAGCCCAAAGAAAGAGATTTTTTCCTGTGATTATTTGAATATATTCAAAAGAAAATTTTGACAAAATCCAACGCCTTTCATAAAAATATTCAATAAAAGAAAAATCTAAGAAGTTTCCTCTCATGGTAATGAAGTGTACAGACAAAATGTCAGGTGAGACCATATTTGATGATGAAAACCAAGATGTTTTTGCCCTAAAAATCAACAACAAAAAGAAATAAATTATCAAAGCCTCTGGTCAACAATTTACTAAAGGTACTGGCTGGTTTTGCATCAATTTGACACAAGCTATAGTTAACTAAGATGAAGGAACATCAATTGAAAAAATGCTTGCATAAAATCAGGCTACAGACTGGGTAGTAGTAGCGCATGTCTTTAATTCCAGCACTTGGGTGGCAGAGGCAGTCACATCTCTGTGAGTTTGAGGCCAGCCTGGTCTACAGAGTGAGTTCCAGGTTTCAGGACAGGCAGAGTTGCTACACAGAGAAATCCTGTCTTGAAAAACAAACAAAACAAAACAAAAAAAAGCAGGCTACAGGCAAGCCTGTAGAGAATTGTCTTTATTGGTGATGGATGTGGAAGGGCCCAGGCTACTGTGAGTGGTGCCACTCCGGGGCTGGTGGTCCTGGGTTTTCTAAGAAGGCAGCTGAACAAGCTACAAGGAGCAAGTGAGTGAGCATCACTCCTCATGGCCCCTGCATCAGCTCCGGCCTCCAGGCTCCTGCCCTGCTTGACTTGCTTCAATGATGAGCAGTGATGTGGAAGTGTAAGCCAAATAAACCCAGGTTACTTTTGGTCATGGTGTTTCATCATAGCAATAAGAAAGCCTAAGAAAAAAGGCTTTGCCAATATGAAGAATGCCTTTGCCACTTTCCCAGGGGTCCAAGTATTTGTTATGGCTGTGCCCACATCAACAAGGCACATTCACTCAGGACTTCACTCATGCAGAGCTTCCTCCAGTTTCCATAGACAGACCCAGGTCTAGATAAATGAACAGAAATTCAAGCAGGCCACATCGACAATGGGTACTTAGTCAAGCAGGAACTCTGAGGCAGATGTGAGTTGTCTGTCAGTCCCTTGACGCACACATCAGATAAGCACACCACAGATCCGTGGTATCCATCACCATTTCAGGGCTTGGTGTCTTCTATGTATCCAGGTAACGGTATTACACTTTTATTTTTTTTTAAAGTCTGTGGATGTTTTGCCTGTGTACCATGTGCGTGTCTGGTATTCTGGAGCCATAAGAGGGCATTGGATTTCCTAGAACTGGAACCACAGATGGCTACGAGCCACATTGTGGGTTGTGGGAACTAAACCAGGTCAGTGCTCTTAACAGAGGCATCGTCTCCCTGGCCCAGGTGTTGCACTTGTATTTCAGTACAGAGTGTTGGAGAAGCTCTTCAGCTTGGTTTTCAGAAAAACATTTTTGAGACAGGCTTTTCCTGCATAGCCTTGGCTGTCCTGGAACTTGTTTTGTAGGCCAGGCTGGCCTCAGACTCACAGAGATCCACCTGCCTCTGCCTCCCAAGTGCTGGGACCATGGAGCTACCACTCCCGGCTTTGGTTTTCCATTGTGATTTTATACAGCCATGGGCTTAAGTTACTTTGCTCCGTTACAGGGTGGCACCCTTTGACGGGTGAGTTATCTACCAGTCTCTATGCCTCATGGTTCCCACTAGACGTCGTTACTTATGTGCCCAAAGGGTGCAGAGTCATCTGCCTCTGATGCGCCCACAAAATGGAGTCAAATGCAGTTTGTACAGACAAAAAAAAAAAACCCTACTGTTTTACGCAACACAAACCAACTTACCAACTTGGAACAGGGTGCAGCTTGATGTCAACATGAAAGGAGATGAGTGTTTGGAAAAAGAAGAACTAAGTTAGGAAACTCATACTTCCTAGTTTCAAATCCTGTTCTTTAAACAACAGTGATCAAGACAGTGTGATGATAGTGTAAGGTGGTGACAGACATCAATATAAAATAAACAAGAACTCAGGTAAGTCAATGTGCCTATACACAATGATTGTGAAAATGGTGTTGATAGAATTGAATGGGAAACCACTATGGTCGCAACTAATGGTACAATAGATTATCCCCTTGTGGATGGATGAGCTTGAGTCCTTACCTCAGACTTTACTGTAAGATCAATTCAGCTGGCATAGAGTCCACTCAGCAGAAACGGGGGGCAGATGGTTGTGAGAAGCCACGTCAGGGGGTACTTGGGAAGTGAGCCTGGGCCCTCCGCAAGAGTGCAAGTGTTCGTAACTGCTGAACTGTCTTTCAAGCTCCAAGTTTCCCCATTTGTTTTTGAGACGCGTTCTCTCCACGAACCTGGAGTTTACTGTGTCAGCAGGATTGAGCAGCCAGTAAGCCCTCAGCCCCACTTGCCTCTGCTCCCCACCACCAGCGCCAAGGTTGTAGTTAGCTGCTGCTAAGCAGAGCTTTTACATGGGTGATGGGGATCTGAATCTGGGTCCTCACGATTGTTCAGCCATCACTTTACTCATTAGCCATCTTCCCAGCTTGCTGTTTTTGGTTTTTTGAGGCAAAGCCGTGCTTTCCGTGATGAATTATCATGACGGGGACCTCTAGCACATTGCTGACTAGAAGTTCTGAGAATATGCGTCCTTGTGTTGTTGATGATCTTAGGGCAAAAACATCTAGTCTTTCATCATCAAATATGGTCTCAGCTGACACTTTTTCATACAGTTCATTATGATGAGAGGAAATTTCTTAGATCTTTCTTTTGTTGAATGTTTTTTATGAAAGGTGTTGGATTTTGTCAAAATTTTCTTTTGAATCTATTCAAATAATCATAGAAAAAGTCTCTTCCTTTGATGTGGGGTGTTACAACGGCTGGAAGAAATTAAACCAAGCTGAGTGTCGTGGCCCATGTCCATAATCCCAGCACTTGGGAGGCAAAGGCAACAAGACCAAAAGTTCAGTATCATCTCCAGCTGCCATAGTGACTTCAAGGCCATTTTAGGCTACTTGACAACCTGTCTCAAAACAGAATAAAGCATAAAAAAAAAAAAGAAAGTTGAGGCAGAAGGATGGATCATGAGTCCCAGGCTATCCTGAGCTACATAGTAAGACTAGGTCTCAAAGACTAAAGAGAGTCTAGGAATATAATCCGGTTGGTGGAAACCTTGTCTAGCACACAAAAAGCTCTAGATTTGATTCCCACCACCATACAAACTGAGCATACACATGTCTGTAATCTTTGTTTTGGAGGACCAGAGGAAGAAGGATTAGAATCCACGGTCATCCCCAGCTGCATAATGAGTTTGAGGCTAGCTCAGACAGCAGGCGAATTTCAAAATAAACAAGCAAACAAATAAAGAAAATGAGGAAGGGTTTCGAGCACCAATCTGTATCCAAATGGTTCATATTTGTGGTGAGGCTGCATGAAGCAGGAAAGTAACTTCTGGGGTCGTTTACCTGATTTAAAAGAGGTTTTGATCTCCCCTCTTCTCATCTAATAGTAGTCCAGTCTAAAAGAAGTCTAGTCTGGAAGAGAACGGTCTAATCTAAGAGTTGTCTAATCTAAAGAAGTCCTAAACAAAGGCATCCTCTCTGTACACCGAGCACAGCGAACATAGTAAGGAGACAGAACGAGGAGCTTTTGTCCTAATCAATCTTTTACAGGCTTCTCATGCAGGAGAAGCCATTCTTCTGGACCTCCTGACTCAGAACAGCACACGAGGGAACACACAAAGTGGGTATCACTTTATACCCACATCTTGCTTCCACCGTCCCTTTCAATGCCTGGCTGCTCCCAGAGAATGGTCTCAAATCTGGTCATCAGGGCATCTCACATACGCACTTTGTTCTGAGTCAGAGACATGAGTGTGTTTCTTCACAAAAGAAAAACACAGAATATGGGACAAGGAGAGCTGTGTGTTCAGCTGAGCTTGGAGGAGTTAATTATTTTTTGTTTGTTTTTTTGAGACAGGGTTTCTCTGAGTGGCTTTGGAGTCTGTCCTGGAACTCGCTCTGTAGACCAGGCTGGCCTCAAACTCCAGACATCACTTACCTCTGCCTCCCAAGTGCTGGGATTAAAGGCATGCACCGCCACCACCCTGATTGGAGGAGTTAATTATATCAGAAGTCCAAAATGCTGCAATATTGGTTGAACCTTTATTTAGAGGTCAGATAATCCTGAACAGGTTGAATACACAGTATGTGAACAGAATGAGGTCTTAGTTAAAAAGGCTCAGTGGTTTGAAGCACTTGTTGCTCTTGAAGGGGACCTGGGTTCAATTCCCAGCACCCATACGGTGGTTCATAACCACCTGTAACTCCAGTTCCAGGGGATCTGTTCTGACCTGTGGTGAGCACCGCTAAGCACCCGGGGACGGGTGTGTGTGTGTGTGCACCCGTGTGTGCATATGTACATGGAGGCAAAAAACACATAAAATAAAATGAGTAAGTCTGACTTTAAAATCAGGCAGAGAAAGACACTATCGATGATAGAGCAGTTGTAACAAGCGCAATCACTGTGCTTCACAACTTGGCTCTGACGAATAAGTGACCAAGATGTAGCAGTGTGTGGTGCCAATATCCTGGGTGAAGGAATGAGTCACATCCAGTCAGGACTGGATGGGACAGCACCGAATTTCATCACGCAATGGTGGGGAGGAGGGGCGACTGAGAACTTACGAATGATTTCTGGAATTTTCCATTTACTGTTTCCTGGCCACAGCTGACCTTAGGTGACTGAAGCTGTGGACAAACAAAGACTGCTCTGTCTGATCTGTGAAGAGAAAGACCAAAGGGAGGAAAATGAGGAACTGTGATTTCCTGGGTAGGCTGCCACCGTCCTCACCCTTTGCACGAGGAGCAGCAAAGACTGTGTGATCAGTTATTAGAAAGATTTAGAAATTCCCAATCCAACTCGTGAGGAGTTGGGAAAATTTAGACTTGGGGTGGGAGGAGATCTCAGATGACAGAGCGCTCGTCTTGCAACACGAGGTTCTAAGTCCTCGATTCCTGACACCCTCGTAAAAGCCAGGCATGATGCCACGCAATTAAAACCCCAGTGCTGTGGGGGCAGAGACAGGCAGACCCCTAGGGTTCCCTGACCAACAAGAAAAAGCTAACTGGTGAGCTCCAGGCCAGTGAAAAACCCTGTCTCACAGGTGGCAGACACATTCCTGACCCAGCGTTTCTACCCTCTGCCTCCACAGGCGTTGGCACAACCTGTACCTATGCGCACGCATACACATACAATGTAAGAAGTGAAATTAGCCGGGCGGTGGTGGTGCACACCTTTAATCCTAGCACTAGCACTTGGGGTGCAGAGGCAGGTGGATCTCTGTGAGTTCAAGGCCAACCTGGTCTACAAGAGTTAGTTCCAGGACAGCTAAGGCTGTTACACAGAGAAACCCTGCCTCAAAAAAACAGCAACAACAAAACAAACAAACAAATGCAAAAAAGAAAAGAAAAAAGTGAAAGTATAAACAAATTAAAGAAATTAAAGCTAAGTCTACAATCTCATGGTGGCTATCTGTTTTTTTTAATTAGTTAATTAATTTATTTATTTATTAAAAATTTCTGCCTCTTCCCCACCACCGCCTCCCATTTCCCTCCCCCTCCCCCAATCAAGTCCCCCTCCCTCGTCAGTTAATGACTAAAATGAGGGGGAAATGGGACCTGCTGTCATCTGGTGGTTTGAGCTTCAGTCTTCCGTCTCAGAGTCTCCCTGAAGGAACACACTGGTGAAGCTTCTGAAGGTGAGTTACTTAGATGCTGGCTGACCTAACAGCCGAGATCATTAGCCTGAGTCTGAAGAGAATAAAAAAAAAAAAAAAGAATGGAAAACAAGGAGGGCCAAAGAAACCATCTTTAACCCGTTATTAATAAAATGAAATTGCCAGCTAATTGATGGGGACACACTCCCTAAATCCTTTATCCCAGCACTTCGGAGCCAGAAGAGGGTGGATCTCTGAGCTTGAGGCCAGCCTGGTCTACAGAGCGAGTTTCAGGACAGCCAGGGCTACACAGAGAAACCCTGTCTCCAAAATAACCTAGGAAAAATAAAATAAAATAAAATGGAATTATCAGAAGCCCAGAAAGCCATAGAACAGGAGGGGGTCATCCTTCGTGACCTTCAGTCTGATGAGGTCAGATCCTTGCCTTTAGGGCAAATCAGCGCAGAATACAGTTAGTGAATTGATTAGGCCGAGAGAAGGGATAAGGTCGCTTCAGGATCAAGTGCAGGCGGCTGTCAGAGGAAGGAAAGGGGCAGAATCAGGACACCTGAAGCAGGGGCTTCTCAAGAAGGAGCGTCCTTAAATAAATGAATGAATAAATAAAAAAAAAAAAAGAAGGAGCATCTTCCTCAGGCATCGGGACATTGGCTACGTAGATGACTTTGTGGCCTTTTAAGTTACATGGTTTAAATGATGTAATTTATAACAAGGTTTAAATAATAAGCAAAGTTTAAAGTTGAGGTGGAAAGGTGAAAAATATGCAGGGTGGTCTGCCTCCCTCTCCTCTCCTCTCCTCTCCTCTCCTCTCCTCTCCTCTCCTCTCCTCTCCTCTCCTCTCCCCCCCTCTCCTCTCCCCCCCCCCCCCCCCCCTCTCCTCTCCTCTCTCTCTCTCTCTCTCTCTCTCTCCCCCCCCCCTCGCTTTTGGGACAGTTCTCATACAGCCTAGAAATGTGTTAGATCTCAATCTACCAAAATGACAGTTTGGGTTCAGCTTAGACTGAACTCTGACCCCGGAAACTCTTGACATTCCTCAGAAACCTTGTAAAGTGGGTTTCTGCTTGCCAGTAAAAGCCTTACTTTCTTACTTGGTCCCACCCTCTTCCCCGAAACTCTGGAGACATTGTCTAGTTTTTTATTAACTCAAATTCTGTTTTATTAACTCAAATCTAGTTCTTTATTAACTCACACAAGCCTCCAACAGATCAGAGCCCCATGTTAGATCCTAGGCTGTTCCAGCTAAACTGCCCTCCTCCCACCTCAGTAGAACACCATAGAACGGACAGGACTTTACCGACATTTCTGCTCCCCTCTCTCTGCCCTGGAGAAAGCCCTGGCAATCAGCAGGCTGTTCCTTTTTCCACCTTTCCTCTCTGCTCCTCCCCATTCCCTGACTCCCCAGATGCCTTGCTATTGTCTCTCTTACCTATGATAAAAAAGAAAAAGAAAAAAGAAAAAACCTTCCCTAACTGTTGCGTAGCCATTTTTGTGGTTTCTATACTGCCCCCTCAGTTACACTGTGTCCCTGAGCCTGGCTTTGATCCCTTGGCTTCCACTTTCCAAGTGTTGGCTTAACAAACACAAACTATCACCACACCCGGCAAAGTCAATTCAGGGATGTAAAGTGTTTGTGGTGCTGGGGATCAAATCCAGGACCTTGAGCACGCTAGGAAAACACTCTAGTACTGAGTGATAGCAACAGTCCTTGTTTGTCTTACGTTGAAGGATTTTTGCTTTTTTTAAAACATTCATTTATTTTTGTTTTACGAGCATTGGTGTTTTGTCTGAATGTATGTCTGTGAGAAGGTGTTGGACTCTCAGAAACTAGAGTTACACACGGTTGTGAGCTGCCTTGTAGGTGCTGGGGATTGAACCCCAGGGCCTCTGAACCACTGAGCCGTCCCAAAGGTGTTCCTTTTATAAATTAGATTGTAGGATGTTTTATGAGACTCATTGTTAAGACTTAGAGAGAAGAACAATAACAAGTAAACCACAGACATTCTGGCTCTAAGTAAGTTTGTTATTTTTAACTTTCTTATTTGAGATGTTGCAATTATCCTGCCAATCAAAATATTCTAAAGAGACATTTATGCCCCTCCCGTTGGCTTTCAGGGCCTGAACAAACTGGAATTCCCACCCCTCCCAACACCCCTCGCCCAGGAATCTCCTGTTGGGAAAAGAGAAAGGCTGGAGCCTGATGCCAGCCAGAGGAGAAAAGAGAAAGTTCTCTTAGGGAGGGGGTTCACAAAGTTTTGGGTTTTGGGGAGTTTTTTGTTTGTTTTGTTTTGTTGTATTTTGGGACAGAGTTTCTCTGTGTCACTCTGGCTATCCTAGAACTTGCTCTGTAGAACAGACTGGCCTCAAACTCACAGAGATCTGCCTGCTTCTCCCAAGTGCACCACCATGCCTTTGACAGCTTGCTAGACCCCGTTTCAGGATGTACTGGAGCCCAGACAAAGGTGCATCAGTGCTAGGACCATCTGTACCTCAGGCACGACTGCTTAGGCAGTCTTTCCTTTTACCTTCTGTTTAAACCAAACCCCAGGTCAGAATGTCAAGACGGACTTGGTCGGTGATCAAGGACTTTTATTGGTTCCTCTCTCTAATGTGGCATCGTTGAATAAACATTCTTCCCTCTGCTTTTCACTATTATATGTCTGTCTGTCTGGCCTGTTGGGAATGGATGGCCATGCCCAGCCTGTTGGCACTGTCAAGGTCCTCGCTCTGTCCCTAAAGACTCTGGTAACAGTGGCTTTAGGAAAACATGCCCCATCTTGGTAGGGAACTTCAGCTTTGTCAGTTATGTTACATAATAAATATTTGTCTTGATTCTCAGCCAGCAGAAAATAAAAACTAAGATTCCAGGATAAGGAGCTTCTTTTCTTTCCCAAACCCAGCCCCTTATTGTTCCCTATCTTCCTTCTTGCCCCAAAAAGATCAGAACAGATGGAACGGGAACGGCTTGTGCTGCTCTCTCAATGGGTTCTCTTCGTCTTTGTTTGGAAGAATTCAAGAAGCCTGACCTGAATCACCTGGGCTGGAAACAAAGCCCCAGAGTCCTTCAGTCCAACTCTCTTTGCTCACAGAGACACACACACACAGAGGATGACCATGGATGAGGAAGGCAGCTGGGGAGTGGAAAAGAGACATTTGGGGGACTTTCTGATATTGGAGCCATATTCGTGATAGCACCCCCTTAATGAAGCCCTGGTGGAGACCACAATTAAATCAAGACCATTTACAAAGGTGGAATTAAAGGATGGAAGTAGACTGTTTAACAGAATGTATAAGAAACTGTTGCTTTCTCCTTTATCTGGGTAGCTTATGGGAATACATATTACGTTAGAATAGGGAACACTTTCCTTGCCTCGCATATATAAACTAAAATGTGCTGCCATCATAACGCAGGCTAAGGTTAGAGCTGCAAGAGTTGATGAAAGAAAGACCGAGGTGTGAGTGAAAACGTTGTCATCTGATGTGGTGGCTCATGCCTTTGACCCTAGCACTTCATGAGTTCCAAGCCAGCTAGGTCTACACTGTGAGATGCTGAGGAACTTTCTCTGTCCCGTCAGCCAGTTCACAAATAAGCACACGGAGACTTATTATTAATTATAAATGATTGACCAATAACTTAGGCTTGTTACTAGCTAGCTCTTACAACTTAAATTAACCCACACTTCTTATCTCCCCCCCCTACCACCTTTATTCAGCATGGCATGTTCATCTCCTGCTTCCTCTGCATCTCGCTGGTGGCTCCAGCCTTCTTCATGCCCACCTTAGCTCAGTTTGGCTCTCCTGCCTAATCAATCAATTCTTTATTAACAATGACAGCAACCCACCTTCACAAGTACAAAAGGATTATTCCACAGCTGTGAGACTCGGGACAGTTAAGGCTACATAGAGACAGAGAAACCCTGTCTCAAACTCGAAAAACAACAACAACAACAAAAAACCCACAAACAAAACAAAACAGAACCAAAAACCTAAACCTCAAACAAACAAAAAGCCCTATGTTTTCCTGGATGTGATAATACACTCTTTTTTTTTTTAAGATTCATTTTGTATGTATGCATGTATATATGTTTGCCTGCATGTATGTCTATGCACCATGTACATGCCTGGTGCCCTGCAGGATTCCCTGAAGCTGGGGACTCAGGTTTAATTCCCAGCTCCCACATGGCAGCTCACAACTCTCTGCAATTCCAGTTCCAGGGGATTGAAACACTCACACAGGCATACATGCAGGCGAGACACCGATCACTGCTCATAAAATAAAAATAAATTATTAGAAAAAAACGAAATAGAAAGAAGCCTAGTAGGACAAGGCTCTAAAATTGGAAGTAAACTTCCCAACATGTTCACTAGAGGTGACAACTTAGGGACAAGGGATGAGTGGCTGCAGAGAGACTGGCAAGTATAGAAACAGCCCCATGCCCTGGAGCAACCTCTGCGGGCTGGCCAACACTCAGCACCTCCCTACCAGCGGGTAATTTAGTTCCAGTCACTTCCTGGTTGGAGAGAATGAACAAGGCTGAGAGAACCCCGGGCACAAACACCTGTTCTAAAAGCGATGTCAGGGGAAAACCCCTCTTTGTCATCTCTTGTTTGTGTCAGGTCTAACAGAAATTCCAGTTCCCCAAACTCCAAAGGCAGTCCAAATAGCCAGAAATGAGCTCCAGCCGGGTTACGGGAGGATTTCTGGTGGATAAAAGCCAGCATTCCTCAGAAGCCAGTTCCCTTACCTCCTGGGAACAGAACACACGGCCCTCCAATGACCATAACGTACAGCACCGATCAGCATAGTCATGGTCCATGCTAGCCTCCAGGCTCCCTCGGTCCCTACTCCGAGTGCTTGTTAGACATTTCAAAGCCCCCGCGCCAGTCTCACTGTTTGCTCTATTCCTTTTCTATTCTCTACACTCTGCTCTTCGCCCCTCTCGCAGAGAGAACACTGACCACGTTCACTGTGCGCCCCTCTCTACTGCTCTGGGCTCCTCCAGATGTCCCTGGCTGTTTTCTCTCTCGTCTCTATAAAAACCCTTCCCTAACCACGCTATGGAGCAGTCACATCATCAGTTTATACAGTATCACTGCATGTAAATATGTTTAAAATATATGGGTTAGGCCGGGCGGTGGTGGCGCACGCCTTTAATCCCAGCACTTGGGAGGCAGAGGCAGGTGGACCTCTGTGAGTTCGAAGCCAGCCTGGTCTACAAAAGCCTAGCTCCAGGACAGGCTCCAAAACTATGGAGAGACCCTGTCTCGAAAAACCAAAAAAGAACAAACAACAGAAAGAAGCCCAGAAAGAACCCTTGCTAGCGCCTGCTCTTATCCTGCAGGATGATTCCTGGGATTTTAATTTCACTTTCAGTGAATCTGTACTTTCACTACTACTCAGTATCTTGTCCAGTTTGTTGTTGGAGACACACTGACACTGGACATTGCACCACGGACACCTTGAGAGCTCCTTCAGGTCACTGAAGCAACATGGACACCCATTCTTTCACCGTTTGCGGAATAAAAAGTCATCAATAACTATTGCCCTTGTGACAGTGAGCCTACCGGAAGTGACCGCACAGACACCGTTTACAGCCAATGGGAAGTCTGTATTTCAGCTGCCGGGACTGCACTCAGGTATTCAGGGACCTAAGAGCAGCCCCGAGCACTTTGAGCAAGAAGCTTTTAAAGGCAAAACCCATACCCTGGTATCTTGTTCTGCAGCTGCTGGGGGAGGTTTTTTTGTACAAGCAGATGGTTTAACAGAAACTAAGAGAAGTTAGT